TGAAATCAATAGGAACCGTAGGAGTTCAGCACCTTTGATCAATAGGACCAGTGATTTGCAAGTCCAAATCAGCTGCTGATAAAATGGTAAGGTATCATGGAAGAAAAATCCGACTTACCAATAGGCTAAAAATAACTGACTAGATGAGCAGCCACATCAAACATTGTATTGTACTTAAAGAAAATGGCATGGTGCTGAAAAATTACAGAAGAATATTATATTTCTTATTCTATTTCTTGTATTTGCCTTGTTTTCTCTTAAATTTTTGGTCAAATGCCTTCTTTAATTGCTGATGGCTTCTCAGGTTTTTATTACAATGAGATTAAAAAAAGAGAATATTTCCTATACCATTCCAGAATGCTAGCCTATTTTATAGTCTTCTAGCAACACAGACAAATAGCTGAACAGAAAGATGCAACTATTGACTCCATTGAATCAAACAGATATGCTCTTGTCTTTCATGTGATAATTCGGAATCTATGTTATAGCCTTTGGACATCAATATGTACACAGTGTCTGCTAGTCCTCGTCTTGCTTACTAGATAAAATCAACTATTCACACAGTATGAGAGAATTTGCAGTTTTCTTTTCCAAACCGTCCTTTTGCAAGGTGCCGTCTCTGTAAATATCTGAGCCTGGACTCATGACATGGATCTAGCTCTGACCTTTCAAACACCTCATGCCACAGAAATATACATCAACACATAACCAAGGATTTATCTGCTTCTGTTTTACAACCAAAAATAGAAAAAATATTAAGGCAACTGGATTTAAAAAATTTTCCCCCAAGATTTTTTTTTTTTTTTTAAATTCGAGCATTCATTGGCATGAATCTTTAGAACAGCTCATATGCTCTCCAGACACAGACACTGCTAGTGGGCAGATTTTGCCCATCTCACGTTGCTGTCTGAAGAGCAAATAACTTGTTTTCCCCAGTCAGCCTTTCACTCCACCAGCAATTTTGCTCTGCCGACTTCCCACAGCCGTGGCCAGGCGCTCAGGAACCGCCGGCGAAGCTGCTGCAGCCCCTACGCTCCGATGACGTGCACCAACATCACCTCACTGGTGGGTGTCCCAATTGCTCACCCGCCTCACTGTCCTCTTTGCGGACAAATTCAAGCAATTGTGCCCCAGACTGCCACGAATGCAACACAGTTCTCAACTTTTCTAAAAGTACAGAAGAAAAATAAAAGTATACGTGCCTTTATTCAAAAGAAAATAATTCAACACATTTACAGTGTGGAGACCAAATATCCACTTTACAAAATGAGGTTTTTTTGGAGTAACTACTATGACTTCAGAACCTATTCACAGAAATTACTCCTGTTGAAGTGAAAATGTGTGTTTTACTTGATAAACTAAATATTATGACTAAAGATTTTCAATAAATCAGCTGTTATACATGCATTTACAGGGTTCTATAATTTCCTTACTGTCCATATAATAGCCAAATTTATTTCAGAAAGGACCAAATAATAAACATGGTGATTATAGGCCAAAAGTGGAAACATGGAGAATTTTTTTTTTTTTTAAGTGACTAGTAGTTCAAAGGAGACAAAATACAGAAAAAGTATGTGTCCTCAAGCAAAAGCTTCTCTATTGAGTTTCACTGATAGCAGGGAAAGACTGAAAAATAAAAGAACAAAACCATTTTGCTGTGTTATCTTTTTCATGAAAAGAAATCACGGCTTAGATGACTCTGGCACAGGTCTCAGTTCAGTACAAATATAAGAGCCACTTGCAAATTTTTGATCTGGAATCAGCTTTGGGTTTCCAAGACTTTGGGAATGTTTTGATTTGAGGCTGAGACTTGGGCGTATTTTGAACAGTAACATATAGCTCACACATCTAATGGCAGTACAGGATATTTGACAAAGCACATTTAAGTTATTAGATAAGCGGAAGAAAAAGCTTAATGTTAAATTTTGATCTACCTTCATTTGGTCTGAAATTGCAGCTCATTATAAGTTAACGCAGACTATACCATAAAATATATTGATGAAAATAATTTTGCCTTTACAAAGTCTTCATTATTCTTCCAGTAACAACCACTGAGCTGATCCCAGGTTAAGTTTGATCCTGAAATTAAAATGAGTTTTGTTCTGCAATTTGGGCCCAAGTCTGTAGTCATTGCTCAGACAAAACTCCCTCTGACTTGAAGGAAACCTGCCTGGAGTGAGGACTGAGGGACCCGAATCACGGTGAGCAAAGAGACAATACTTGGGGCAGCATATTTTAACTTCAGAGTGTTATGTACAGTCTGATTTTGTATATTCAACTACTCTTAAAACATGCTCATTTAAGTTTTTGATGTGAAGATACGCAAATATGAAACCCTACAGAGCAAGTGAACTTTGAAAATAGTTTATATGCTATTATTCAAAGCTAACAAAGGGAAAGAACTAAGGTACCTGACTCATAAGAACAGACTGTGAACTTATTTAAATATTTAACCAATCAGAAATGGGCAGCATGAATATTAATTTGGAATAAGATAACTAATAATACCTGAATCTGCAGGAAAGTTTATGCAACTGAAAAAAAATGTGAGGCAACCAAGAGCAAACAACGGCATCTTGGAAAATTTTCTGAATTAGAATTCCTGGTTCAGAGATTTATATTTTGCTATAGAAAACATAACTAGAAATACTAATAATCTATAAAATAGAAAGACATCTTCATTTTACCTAGTTCTGCCCAGCTAAAGAAAACATGTTGTACCTTTAAGACAAACACAGACACGTCTACAGGAAATTCATATAGAGCTTTTTAATTCAGAGTGACATCGAGTGCTTACAGCCTTCTCAGGCTGATGACATGCAGCAGTATATCTCTAGAAAATTAAAAAAAAATTTGGTGTCAGGCTGAAATCTAAGCAGAGATGAAACAGGCAGTGCATCATCCAGATAAAATCTAAATGGCGTGGGTGGGATATATATGTACCAAACAGATGAAGCTGCAAAAATTATCCAGCCAGTCCTAACTGAGGGCATATGCTCACCAGCTGTTACATAAATCTGCAATTAATGTAGCTTCCTAGATCCTCAGGTGCTTTCAAATAATCATACACCAGAAATGATCAAATCTGCTTTCCCATGTGCATTAGATGAGGATGTTAAAAAAAAAATCCCTCCTGAGGAGCATCTCATTGACAGTAATGAGAACTTTTTCACTATGGGACAAAAAAAACCCAAAAAACCAAACCCAAAAAACAAACCCAAAAAACAAAACCAGTGGAAAACAAAAATGACTGAAATTGCAATAATTTTCACTATAAAGACATTTAGTCAGACAACACAGAAAATCAGTGACCACTTAATGGTTTGGAGGTATCTGTACTTGTATCTCTGTACAAGTTTTCCCAAGCACAAGCCACCCTCTCAGGCAAACCCGGAGTTATTCCCACTCAAGCTACAAGGTGTCGGGGATGCTCTGGCTCCTGCCCACCTGCAAACTGGCAACTAAACCAACAAACCAAGAGCGCGTGCGAGAAAGTGCGTCACGCAACCAAAAATTAATTAGATTTCCCTGTATTTACAGAAGCCACAGTCACATTCTATGAAAGTTTTGTAGTATTTTCAATTCAGATTGAAAAACCAACGCGATAATAAATGTTCAGCCAAAATGTCATATAGTAAGTCACAAAGACTTGCTCTCCCATGTACGACTGTAATCTCATTGACTTCAAGCCCACCTCCAATATATCTACCTTCCAAAAAAAGGAAGGTGTTTCTATCTGCTCTGATAAATCCGGCCAATCTATCGTGATATCAAAATTGCAAAGTTAGGTACTTAGAAAGATGAGTTTCAAATTAAGTAACTGCACTTCAATCTATGTAATCTATGTTTTTCTGAAACATAAATTCAATACAGGGACAGCAAACTACATCTTAGAAAACATGGTGTAAAATATTTTTAGAGCTAGCTGTCATTCTAGCCAATGATAGAAGAATTAAGAGGAAAAAATGAAAGACTTAAATTGTGATCAGACCGAAGAAATGAAATTAAGGTAGCAAGGCAAAATACAATTAAGCGTTATCAGTCTTTTCCGTATAATTCTTTAAGAGCAACAACGTTGTAAGGCTTAATATGAAAATCAAATGTTTAATTTAAGAAAAATATCACAGCAATTAAAATCAGTAGGAGTCCTCTGCTAGTATAAACATGCCATCTTGAATAATATTTCTTTCTCTATCAGGCAGTATCAAGGTTAACAGAGTAGAAAGTTAATGAGAATTCCACGTTGTATTCAACCTCTGGCCAACCTCGCATTTTGTTTGCCAGAATTTACAAAGCACCCAATGGCAAACATTATTAGTAAAACATGATTTGTATGAGTGTAAAAGCAAGCAAGGCAACAGAACAGGAAAGGTAAAGAATAATTCAGCATAGAAAAGCAAGAGAGGCTTACCGATAACATAGGCTAGCAACAACGCCAGGGTGACTGTAATAGCAGTAGCACTCAGAGCGGTGCACTTCCAGTTGCAACACCTGTAAGGTTTGTTAAAAGTGAAGGCAGGTCTGGAAAAGGTACTTCTAGGAAGAGGCCTAGGAGGTGGAGAGTAAACAGTATTGGATGTTAAAGGATAGTTCTGACTGGCTGCGCTGAAGATAGCTGAAGACCCAGATCCGTGTTTAAATAGGAAATGCCTACGAAGAGAAGACAAAGAACCACGTTGTAAAAACCACTCTGTGATTTAAGAAGTGAAAGGAACTATACAAGCACAGTATGGTAAATACTGCATATATCCACAGAAAATACCAACGACAGGGAAGCGTGTGTTTGAATACCCTCTGTACTGGAAGTTTTGCAGCCACTCCACAAGATTTCCAGCAATTTTTTAGTGAAACGATATAACGTCAATGAATTCTAACCTCCCAGTGGTTCAGAGTAGTGCTGAGGAAAGGTTATTGCTCAGTACGGTACCTGGGGGTCCTCCAAATGAGCGGCCCCTGCGTGCCTCTTTACACCGGCGTGCCTGAGACCTGGGACCTGCTGCCTGCAGTACCCACTCCGTCCACATCACACAACTAGCTTTAGCTCACCAAATATACGAAAAAAGTGCAGAAGCCATTACCACTCTGAATATTTATTTTTACCATGGATTCTCTCCAGAATATAGGAAATAACAAAAAAAAAGGAAAAAAAAAAAAGGAAAAGAACAGAAAAAAGAGAAAAGTGACTATTTAGTGGAAAATCTACAAGGATAATCCTTTCTGAAGGACTGTAGTTACTGTATAGGTGAGTACAATTTCTTTAGCATTCTTAATTGAGCTATTTTGAGAGCAGTTTTTCTTCCAATGCTTTTGCCTACTGTGGTGATTCTCAAACATACTAAGAAAGCTTTCATTTGGAGACCTATTTCTGCCTATTTTGGAGGACTGATTGCCTTCAAGAAAAAAATAGCAAAGACTTACATTAGCACAAAAAATAAGGTACACAAATGTGCCTTGCAGAACAGGCCCTGGTGCAGAAATATAGAGTGGGTGTCTGTAGGAAGATAGATGGTTTTCAGGACTGGTGTGTGCTCTCCAGGAGAATTTGGGAAAGGATATTTAATTTTAAACAATTACTGTGCTATGTGCTCAGAAATTGTCACAAAAAAAAAAGGACACATTCATAGCTGAGCATACCGACCACATATTCTTTTGAACACACCAACTTTCTTTGGACCTTCTTTCCTTTGGTTTATGTAAGTGAGCAAGCTTCTTCAGTGCCTTCTCTTCTGACAGGCGCACATCTACATCTCATCCCATAGCATGCACCCAAAGAAGGTCCTCTGTCTCAAGCCATGAGGTCTGAGCTGAGAAAGCAAGTGAAGGGGCTCTGACACTACACAGCCTGCAAAAGCAAGGACTGCCTCGGCCACGGGGCTGCCACTGGAGTAGTGCTTTAGCCTGAGTCTCTGCAGCCTTTCCACCGAGCACCCCGACTCAGGAAGGCATTTCCTAGAGAACAGCATTCAACTCCCCCAAACTTGCCAGCTCTTTGCTTTGGGAGCCAGACGCTGACGTGAAGCAACGACCCGCTTGCGGTTCAGGTGCTTTGAACTGCGCCCCGTTCGTACGAGCTCCCAGCTGAGTAAGAGCATCTGTGACTGTTGCTGCCGTTGGTTCCTATATGACCCATTTCTCCGTTCTGCCATCAGCTGAGAGCTGCACAAGGGCTCTGCGGACCCAAGGCAAGCACTACCACGCCACTTCTGGTGGGGGTGCAAGTTGCCCTCAGTTGTTTCTGCCAAAATTGAAGGAGGATCTTGCATTTAGAATCATGTGGCACTATGGTGCCTGCAAGCCAAAAGCCACAGACGCATTCACAGCTGAAGTTAACTGGCCAACGTTGGCATGGTCCAGAAGATTCCCAATGACAAGCGTACCTTTACACCTCCAGCAAGGCACGAGACAAGTTTTTGAATACATATATGTATCAATCAGTCCATGCTGGTGTAATTTCTTTGATGGATTCACAGCGGGATGTACATAGGATCAAACGGTCAAGAGTATGAAACATGATTATACTGTGACATTTGACTATAAGAATATTGTAAATACATGTTCCTGAAAAGGTAATTGCTAAAATGGTGTAATGAGTATGATATTATGTATTTCCATTATAAGATTTTAAAAGAAAGGTTACAGTTCTCAAAATGCCAGATTATAGAAAATAAAAAGGTATCACAGAGCAGTTTTATCTTTTAAAGGGCCTTTTATTCAGGCAGTTACATAAAAAAGAAGGTAAATGAGAACACCGGTTAGCTTGCATTACAGATTACAGTGCCTACATATCAGGAGTCTTTTGACAAACCACAAGAAAGAAATTTTTGTGTTGCTTATGTTGAGTACTAGTTATTCCTGCTTCATACTCATTACCCAAGTAAACAGCACTCAGACAAAAAAGGGCAACCGAACCTGACTGTGTACAGCATCCTGGCGTTACATTAGACAACACGTTGCAGCTTTTTTTCCCACTGACTTTCACAGTTGTAGATATATAGACGGCAATGCTCTGAACATGGTAATGTTACCTGTAACTGTTTTAGTTCAAAAATTCTAAATTCAAATATAGCAAAAATAATAAATTCAAATGAAGTAACGTAACTGTCTACAGGACTATATAAATCTGCTTCCTTCATATCAGGCCATGAGAACACAGCTGGTTATTGTGGCTGCAACGCTTCGTTGTCACACGTGAAGGCTTTTGCAAGTACGTGGAGCCTTACTTCTCAGTCAGCAGTTAACGAGACACATAGTCACTCAGACTTTCAGTAGGAAAGAACGTCATGGCAAAATTCCTACTGATATTCAAGGTAGCAGAATCAGAATCACCATGTAAAATAAGAGATGTGTTATTATATAGAAGCATATACATACATAAAGTATGTATACATATATACATACACATATATACACACAAATTATATATATATATATAAACAGTCGATAGTTCTTCACTTGCTTTATATTTTCAAGACATAATGACAAAAACCTACTTATCTGATAATTTCTCATTTAAATTTTTTTTTGAAATTCGAGCAAAATGGTCTGATATTGGCAGTACTGATTGTCCTTTATGGTGCATAGCTCAAAGTTATCAGCGGTAAAGGGAAGGAAATGCTGAACTGAAAGTTATTATTAAGGCTTTAACAGCCTCGCAATCAATAGCCAGGAATAATTTCATTCTCTTGCACAGGGATTTATAAATGTGGCTTCATAGCCTGATGGTAAAATGCTGGTGTGCAGAGGGATTTCTTTATTAGCAGAAGAGTGCAGGGATGCCAGAGTCAGCTCACACCCTTTTAGATAGATGACTCCATTCACACAGAGGAGAATTTACATAGCTCTAACCTGTTGTAATAAAACTGAGGTTCTGAGGCAATGATGCACTGAAACTGAGCTACCAGTGAAATAATGTTGAGAAAATGTTAAAAATCACAATTGTTTATGCCTTCCATTTTTGGGAGAGTATATTGAGTACCCAAAGACATTTCTATAGAATTTGAAAAACACTGGTGGCACAAAGACAAATTTCCAAAGCTAGGCTGCGACTATGTTCTCATAAACTCAGACGACTCCTCATCTGTCTGAGCACACCACTGGTCCCAAAGGACGTTAGGACACGTTAAAATGTTGCTATCAATTCTATAAAATCAGGCGCTCTCTCTAAAGAGCAAAATAATAAAAATCGCAGTTCAAAAGTTTAGATGTGACTGCAGCCTGGTGTGTGCTTTAATATTTGATCTAAGAGAGAAGCTAAGACTTCTTTTCTTTTTGTAAACTGAGAACACAAAAGAAATCAGAGAATTTATAAGAATGATTGATAAGAGAACTCGTTCCAAGTGGGGGAGTTCTAAATGTTCACAAAACCATCAAAAACATCCATAAAGAAGATGATAATATTCTCTTAAAAAGAGAAATACAGGAGATAATCTGTAAGGCATTTGTTTGTGAAATAGAAGTCACTTAATATTATTGCACTGATAATTCCAATACATAAATAAATATTAAAGGCTCAGTAATGATTTCACATCTAAAAGAGGCAGTTGGAAAACATTCCCTCTTTCTTGAGGTAACCACAACGTCTGTTTGCCTATCTGTTCATTTGTTCATCTCTACAAATGTAAGACTTTTGAACTTTTGAATCCTCTCAAGCAAAGTTGACAGGAAGAAGATGATCCTACCAGACTCATAAAGATCAGGGCTGGGGGGGGGTGTGTGTGGTGGGACTAAAACCCCAATCCCCTCCCAACACCCCCAACAAAACCAGCAAAATGCCCAGTGAGCTCCCGTTTCTAAACTCAGCTCTTTGTCCTCTCAAAGCCCCTCCATCCATCCATCCATTCGGCACTGCGCATGGTGGCTAACGAAGCAGAATCCATACTGGCCAATCAATAGCTTGGTCTAAACACCGACATGCCCAGTAAAGAGGTAAGGACCGAGGGGAGGGAGTTATTGGGAGGTGAGGTGACAGAAGGCATGAAATTAGACCTCTTAGTCCACTGATGGCAGAATAGCTTGCTTTCTCTAACGAACCAGTTTCATGTGGCTCATCTAAGTGGTCTTGTTCTACCTTAAGAGGAATGGCATGAACCTCCAAGAGAGCAGGTCATACAAAAATGATGAATTCTCAGCTAGGAGAAGGTTAAGAAACAGGAGTTAATTTCTTTCTTCACACCTTTCTCTATCAGGAGATTTTGTTATGTACTTTTGGCTTCTTATCTGGAATGGTAGTTTAAGTCTTATAAAAGCTACACATGAAGCAACATCCCAACTGAACTCATGTGGTGGTAACGTAATACTATTACAGAAACTAGATTAGCCCCACACAGAATTCCTTAATTAAATTCTGAGAAAATATTTTGATATCCCAGTACTATAGTAACGTCCCTCAACTTTGTGAAGGGCTTGATATCATTTCTGTAAGTCTATGCATTTACCCTGTGCCTAGCATCTGTAGGCCTAGAAGTCCACCTTCATTTGTACTTATAACATGTTTTCCTTCTGTTTCCATTAATAACCAGGTTTGTAGGAGGAAAAAAAAAAAAAAAAAAAGAACAAAAGCAGATTTGAAAGTGAACCACTGGGTGAGTTAGTAGAAACACAAACCTTGCAATACTTTGGCCAAAAAAAATGAGTCTGCATTTCTCCTGGAG